AGATCAAGGACCTTTATAATTTAAAGCTATAAAGATCATTTAAGAAAAAATTGGGGCAAATTAGGGGGCCTAAATAAATTATCTAATAGAACTAAAAATGCACCATCAACAAAGGATAAACTGGACTATTGTGACCTTCAAAAAATTAAATGCTTATATGATTTAAAAATTTCTCTAAAAGTGTAAAGAGATAATCTACAGACTCAGGAAAAATATTCAGAAATGACATCTGATAAGACGCATGGCTCTAATACTTACAAAAAGCTTCAATACCTCAAAGAAGAAAAAGGCAACCCAGTTACTAAATGGACAAAGGACATAGAATCCACTCCACCAAAGAAAACACTCAGTTGGCCAATAAACACATGAAGAAATGCTCATAACCATTGACTACTAGAGAGATGCAAACAAAAACAGTAATAAGATATCGTCCCACCCCAGCAACAATAGCAAAAAGTTCAACAAGATATCAAACAACAAATGCTCACTAGGGTGTGGAGAGATCAGAATTCTCATGTGCTGCTAGTGGGAAAGGAAAATAGTGCAACCACTATGGAAAGCAGCTTGGCACTTCCTTAGAAAGTTGGGAATAGAAATACTATTTGATCCAGTAATACCAATATAAGATATTTTACAGAAATAAGAATTGTGACACAAACAGTTTTATGGACGCAAAGAGGAAAAAACAACCCAAATATCTACCAAGGGATAATGACTAAAGAAACTAAGGTACACTCACACAGCTGATTATTATACAATGCTTAGCATCAATAAAGAATTTTTATAAACACTGCATAATGTGAATCTAGAAGGTATGTTGAGTGAAATGTCAGTCAAAAAGGAAAAATATTGCAAAAGATTATTAGTATTAAAAGATAAAGGTTTAGACACAGAAAGAATCATTGTTGGATGGTAATCAGTGATGGAAAGGGTTGATGAAGAGAGTGAAAATTGTTGTTGTTGTTGCTGCTGGGTACCTCTAATTAAGTATGACTCATAGCGACCCTGTGAACAATAGACCTGAACTTTACCCTATTCTGTGTCGTCTTTATCATCTCTGGCACACTTGAGCCCATTGCTGAAGTGCCAGTCAATTTGGTTAAGTATCTTCCTCTCTTGTACTGACCATCCGCTTTTTCAAGAATGATGTTCCTTTCCAAAGAATAGCCTCTCCTAGCAACATGCCCAAATATGTGAGATGTACTGTATATAAGAGTAAATATTAGTAAAAAGATAATACACACATATTAAGATGGTTGAAAGCAAAGATAATATGCAATTAGGGGATGATCAATATAATATCTGTAAAGAAAGGGAATATGTAGCAAAACCCAGAAAGACTATTGGAAATCAGGGTTATCGGGAAGAAATTTGAAAAGCTCTGGTGGCTCAGTAATAAGGAGTTGGGCTGCCAAGCTAAAGGCATGTTGCTTGAGTGCAGCAGGTGCTCCAAGGGAGAAAATGGGCATTCTCCTCCCATGTGATTTACGGCATCTGAAAACCATTTGGAGGGTCAGCTATGAGTTTCAACTAGAAGTACATAATAACATTGAAATTAGTGTTACATGATAAAATGTATATAACCAATGAAAAATTCTTTGACTCTGAAAACCTTCACTCAAATCATAAGAAAAAATTCTTTTTTGTTATGAAGAAGTAATCTTTTAAAACATACCTCAAACCACATTGCTTCTCAAAGTCCACGTCCTTCAAATGCCCTGCTTCTCTTACTCTTCCTAGGTTTGACTTCATCACAGGAGTCCTAGCTGTCCTAGTCCTAGGGACTAGTTCCTTTGTTTGAAACAACACTCTCAGATAACTCTATGGCAAATTTCTTCTCTTTCGTAAGTCTTTATTCAAATCCCACCTTCTAAATCAAGAGTACTCTATTTTTTTAAAAAAAAAATCATACCTCTGCCTCTCCCCAGCTCCCTCAATTCACTTTATACTCTGTCCTGTATTTCCATAGCACTTGCCACCTTTTAGCATATTACATAATTTACATAATTATGCTTTTCATCAGATTGTCTCCCTCTACCAGTTTGGGAGATTTAAGAGAACAAGGAGCTTTACTTTTGTTCATTGATATTTCTCAAGGACTACATCTAGCACAGAAAATGCTCAATATATTTGGAAGAACTGGATTGACCATTTCTTCCCAATTTACACAGTCAAAGAGAATGAGGCTGCAGTGGAAGCACTTGGCTCAGGAAGATTATTAGTTATATTTTCTTGTATAATTTGTGTAGAATTGTTGTTTTTTTCCCCTACATAGCAGTGAGAAGAGAAATCAAGAAGAATTCAGAGACAGATTGTGTGTGTGTATGTGCACGTGCATGTGTGTGTCTATTTAAACATATAAACAATATAATTATGTGAGTACAAAATTACTCTTAGACCTGTGAATGTGATAAAAAAAAGAGCTAAAAATGAGTTAGAGTGTGGGTGTGTATTTAATTGTTGGAAACGCAACAAAATACGGGAAGGAAACCTATCTAAAATTCAAGACTCCGGAAGGCCCCCACCCATTCTCCTTCATAAACAGAACAGAACTGTATTTCCTCAGACAAGTCCCTCTGCACACATTTGTCTTTGTAGCATAGTTGTAAACATGTCTGTGAAATTATATTTCTTTCTTAATGTAAATTTGATTTTTTATATATCCTTGGAAAGGTTTTTTTGTTCTTCCCCCCCCCCTTTGCCTTTCTTGTCTTATATTTTACAATACGTTTTAGTCTGTCTTTAGTTTTCTAGCAAACCATGTATAAACTACATGTAACAAAAAAGTCACAATTTTATTACACAGAAATCACCATTGAGTTCATATTTTTATAAACTTTCTATATGGGTTGGTGTTTTTCCTAAAGCTATGTATGTTTATTTCTTTTTTCATTTGAGTGAAAGTTACAAATCATTGTTTTTAATTCAATCATTCATATATATTTTGTTTATAACGTTACTCATAATTGATCATTATAATTAATGACATTGTCTAATTAACTCCTTATTTTCTTTCTTTTTAAAAAATTTTGAGATAAATATGGCTCTCTTGGTTAGTTTGTCAGGTAATAGTCTACATTCTTTTTAAAAGTGGCACTAAATTTGCTTACCATCAAAATTAGAGAAATGGAAAACTTTTTTTACATACTATGACTTTTAGTCGAAAACCCTGTGTTAACTCTGAATTCTAAATTATTTAGAATAAATAAAGTCTTTTAGTGACAACTTCCTTAAATGATTTGGTGGGAACACAAATACCCATTGTAGTTGAAGAAAATTAGGTATAAATTTAATAATTTTCTTTTTAGATCAAATTACTATTATCATGGGGTGGTGTGGCAATCTCAGAAACATGACGTGACACTCTAATATTCTTGAAACTTAGTCATAACCAGTGCTGTCCATTTACCAACTGAAATAGTAGGCCTGTACTAGGTTCTAAATTCCCAACTATCTTGCTTAGACAAAGTACTTTGAAAGTTCCAGGAATTCTTAAATGATGCAACTGCAGTAAATTCCTGTAATAAAATGACTTTAGTGAATTAGCTACATTGATTCATTTAAGCTTGATAACTTTTAATAATTGAGTCAATTAAGATTATAGTCATTTTTTTACATATCAGAAGTTTTGTTAGAACACAATACTACATTTATATTAATGTATCACTAGATGGGGCATTTGTGGTTCAGCAATAGATTTCTTGACCCAGGTTCTGTTTCTAGCCAGTGGACTTTATGTTGACCCACAGTCTGTCTGCTGGTGATTGTCCTTTGGTGATTCCAGACTAAGATTAGGAAGAAAGAGTTGGTGATTTACATCTAAACAATAAGTAATGAAAACTCTATGATTCACCATGGTCTAGTGGACACCCAGTCATGAGAGAGGAGTGCAGAGCATATTGTTCTGTTATATACAGAGGTCACATGATTTTTGAGCCTACATTTTAGCAACTTAAAACAACAGTAATAGAGTTTGACAAAGAAGGGCTATGGTTGAAATTATAACAAGTTGGAGGGCTTCTTTAGGCTTCAGAACATGGCCTCGTGCATACAAAATACTTTTCTTATGCATTGATGGTAAAACACCCCATTTAATTTCCTTCTGGCACTCATCATATTGGACAGAAATGACAGCACTTTATTTGCCTTTTCCACAAAACTGCATTCCTGGAGAACCAAGATAAGAATAAGAAGATAAAATAATGAACTATGTTGTTGTTGTTTTTTGTTGGGTGCCATCAAGTTGACCACAACTCACAGCAAACTTATCAGTAACAGATCCATTTGTGCTATCCTGTACCATCCTGATCATCTAGGATACATGTTGTTATAGTCATTGTGTCAGCCCATCTTGTTAAACGTCCTCCTCTCTTTCATTAACCATTGTTGTTGTATGTGTCCTTGAGCATATGAACAGTAGCCCTGAACCCTGCCCTATCCTAAACCAATCACACTGTCTCTGACACATCTGTCCCCATTGCCACAGTCACGTTGTTAATCCGTCTCACCCAGGGTCATCCTCTCCTGTACTGAGCTTTCACCCTTCCAAGCATAATACCATTTTCAAGGACTGATCCCTCCTGTCAACATGTCCAAAGTATGTGAGACAGAGGTTCAAAAAACTAAATTATTATTAGCCATAGATATTACCATTTATTAAGGATCCAGTATGTCTTGACATGTATTCTTTGCATACATTATTCTGTTTTCTGACCCACAACTCTGAGACATCCCATTTTACAGATGGAAAATTAAGGCTCAGAAAACTAAGAAAAGTGCTATAGTGTCATATGACTATTGTGTGGAAGAACTATGATACTTCCAGTTCTTCCTTGGGATCAACCAATACTTCAGTATGTTTTGAGGTAAATTATGAATGAGTGAATAAATAGAAATATTACAAGATAAACATAGAGTATTTTAAAAATCTGTTCTCTTCTTGAGTAAAATGTAAGTTTATAGGGACAACGGAAAACACCAATTTTTGTTACTGTTTCTAGAGGTTATTTTAGCCTGCAAATACCCAAAGAAGACACCCTCGTCTCGATTAGAGTGGAAGAAACTTGGGCGGAGCGTCTCCTTTGTCTACTATCAACAGGCCCTTCAAGGTAAGAATTTGCAGACTTGATGAAGAGAGAACAAGAGAACATTGAGCACAGCCAGATCTTTTCATTTACAAATGAGAACAGAACATAGCTGATTATTGAAAGTGTGTTTTTTAAAGTGTGAGATGAAACCAAAGGCTTAGAAGACTAAGACCTAAAATATACCTGCCATAGAAACAGAAGACAAAGGTCAGAAACGGGTGAACCCAAACTGAGTTTTAGGGACCTTCATTTCTCAGTTCCTTCCCAGAGGATGCAATTGTTATTTCTGGTCTAGTAGGTTAAATTCTCGATAAGAAGAAAGAAAGACGGTGTGGGGGTTGAAGAAGGGGTGCTACTAATAGTAATAACTTAGCCTACTTCCACATCTTCATTTAGAAAGCTGAGCTATATCTCTGAGAAACTTAGGGTGTTAACACTTACAGGACGGTAATGGTAATTACAACTGTTGTTGCCAAGTATTTCTTTTAAAAAAAAAAAAGGTTGTTACATATTTCTCCACTCTTCCTCTTGTTGCATTTGTCATGAACTTTTCATTTAGAATGTTAATAAACATTGATTGAATACTGTAATACCTTAGATTAGCTTTCAAATAATTCAGAGAATTGGAGTGGAGATTGACATAAATAAGCCTTCGGTCAGCGTCACAACCGAGTAATAGATACTATTGTAGATAGATAATGCTGTGTTTATTTTATTCTACTCTTAAAATTTCATGTAAGCTTGAAATAATTAAATCTTTAAAAGGTTTTAAAGCTGTAAGTACAATTTTTTTAATTAAATTTTATTAGTTTTAATGAACATTTAGAGAGATTTTGGGTTTTCATTCATTCATTGTTGCACTGTTTTCTCCACCCTCATCCCCAGTTCGTTCTTCTTCCCCCCCCCCATGTCTGTTTTAATTGTCCAATTGCCACAGTGCTTGTCAAAGCCAGTTCTGATTAATCTCCTTTGTCGGTGTGTCCCTTGCCATTCCCTATCACTCCTCCCTGAGAGAGACTTCACCCTCATTCATAAGGAAAAGGGGATGGCGTATTCTCTTAGCTACTTCCTGTAAGCACGATTTTGAAGTCACAGTAAGCATTTTATTTTTAGAAATCTATGATAGGCAAGCTCATCCATGAAACCACCTGAAAATCTCTGAAAACCACCTGGAGGGTTGACTATGGATTCGCTCTGACTCCAAAGTACACAACAACAATAATGCTTAATTTTCTTGAGTGAAATGAATGAAAACTAAAAATTTGTAGAAAATTCAAACTAGCACTGTAGTTTTTATCTGTGAAGATAAGGCTACAGCTTGTCAGGTTCTAACGTGTAACTTGAAATTTATGCAGTTCTCAATTCTATCAGTTGGACTTTATATAAAACACATGTATTATCTGCTCAGTATGTTTTACTCATTCTGTCATTGCAGTCAAGTCAGTACTCATTCATAGTCGACCCTCCCTTGGGTTTCTGAAGGTGTAAATCATACAGAAGACTGCCCATCTTTATTTTGCAAAGTTACTGGTGGATTTGAACCATCAGACAGTTTGCCTTTGAGTTAGCAGTCTGACTTCTTAGTGACTGTGCCACCAGAACTCTCTAGGCATTATTATATATGTATTAAAAACTATAAGAAAAAATGGTTTTGAGACCTTCACCTTTCCTTCTGTAGAGTATTATGTGAGCAAGCACACATAAATTACTGTTTAAGACAATGAGACCATTTCCCCCAATCTTTTGAAAATGAAAATATTTTTGCAAGGATACTAGAGAAGGGTAAAGGAGGAAGAAAGGCCAATTCCTAAATAAAATATGAAAATATATGGGACTAGATTCTTTTCTGAATAGTATGTCATAAGAAAGAAATAAGTTAAAATAAAAGCATTTATGTAGATGTTATTATTTTTACAATTAAGATTATTAATAAGAAAATAATGCTTTTGATCACAGAATGAAGTAACTGGATAAAAACATTGCATAAAAAGTATAAACATTGCTATTAACACTGCGGTTTTCTTTTTCTAAAAGGTGACTTTAAAGATCGAGCTGAGATGATTGATTTCAATATACGAATCAAAAATGTTACAAGAAAAGATGCTGGGAAATATCGTTGTGAAGTTAGTGCGCCATCCGAGCAAGGCCAGAACCTGGATGAGGACACAGTCACTCTGGAAGTATTAGGTGATGTGTGTGTGTGTGTGTGTGTTTCTGTCCTCCACTCACTGAGGGACAGTGAGGCACTGCTCACCTTAACTTCTTGTAGCAAGTCACAGAAACCAATCATACAACCGTTCTTACAAGTCCCTGCTTATCTCTCCCTAATTCCTTTTAGGCTACTGAAACTTACACAGCGAACACATTGTCACAAAGCTCTCTTCTTTTAAGACTGATATAATCCATACTGGTTCTTAACTGTACATCGGGGCACTGCCCTTAAGTTCATTTTTCAATAGTTTTATCATATATAGACTTTTCCTTACCAAATAAAATGAAATCTTACATGATATGGCTGAAAAGCAATATATACTTTAAAATATAGCTAAGACCAGGGGGGAGAGATTGAGAATTATTAATTAAAAAATGAATCAGCATTTATTGTGCAGCTAGTATATGTTAGGTCTTTTCACATGTGGGAAATTTACTTAATCCTTGCCATCAATCTTATTTTTATAGACGTTGAATTCTTTTTCCCAAGGTTCCACAGCAAGTAAGTTTTTGAACCAGTACGAGCCCAAGTGAGGTTAATGCCAAAATCAGTACACTGTAACTTGAGTTGTTTTCTTATTAGAATCACTGATAGGCATTAAAGGTTCAATACAACAATCTAGTTAAAGCAAATTACCATTTCTCCTTCATTGGTTTTAGTATTAAGCAAAGAGAATGAAATAATTCCTCTTCTTTTTTTAATGTCCTCCAGGTTCTTTCTAGAGTATCAGCGATGTGTTAGTATAAAAAGTTGTAAGTGGCATGGTAACAGATACTTCTGACCTCTATTAACTCCAGAAGCACACAAACACACAAATAAAAAAAATTTTAAAAATATTAAAAAAGAAAAATCTCTGGTGCTGCATTCTATGCTTCTTCCTTGCAGAGTGAGGTTCCCACTTCACTGCTAAACCTGCTCAATTTAAACATGGTGGGATAAGAAACTAAAAGACAATGACTAGAAAAGCCATCTTGAACAGTAACTCATGACACCTCAGCTTAGGTACAAGAAATCTAATTAAGAGAATGCTGTAGGAGTGTATTAGTTTTATACTCCTGTTACCAAATTACCACAAAATTGCTAACTTAAAGCAATAAGTACAGAAGAGGAAGACCCTCGATGAGATGGTTTGATTCAATGATTGAAGTAATGGGGGTAGATGTGTCAGAGACAATAAGATTGGCACAGGAGAGAGCAGGGTTTAGGGATGTTGTACATAAGGTTGCTATGAGTCACAGGTGACTCAACGGCACATAACAACAACAACAAAGCAATAATGATGACTTTAGCACATAATTCTTTGGATCAAAAGCTCACTACAAAAGCTGAATGATTCTTTGTAAAATTGGAAATAAACTGGCTCACAAAGCTCAAAATAAAAAGCTGAAAGATATCACATTATGTAGTTTAGGCTAAATTCTTATCTACACGTTTTAGGGGGCAATTCCCTTGTAAATTTATAAGAGAATTTGTTGTTAGCAGAATTTTTTCCTCATGGTTATAGGACTGAGGTCTCTATTTCTATGCTGACCAGTAGATTAGGGTTCACTTTCAGCTCCACTGGTTTCCCACGTTCCTTACCACTTGACCTTCTCTATCTTCACTCCAGCAAAGGCAGTAGTATTCTAGGACTAGAATCCCTGACCTTACCTTTTCTGAACAGCTGATAAAATTCAGCTTTAAAATGGCTCATTTGATTTGGACAGATCCATCTGGATAATGTCTCTATCTTAAGGATAATAGATTTTGGATCTTAATTATATCTCCATGATTTCTTCATATCATTACTTAAGTTATTATTTGATTGGATAGCTGAAAGAATGTGTACATTAGAGCCAGAAATCTTGGAAGATTTTTACCCACCGCTGTTACCTCTGGGTTTTCCTGAATATTAGATCATCTAGTAAAATCTGGTTTATTTTATAAATCCCAGGGCCAGAATAGTCCTAAATCCTGGAACAGGTATCTTTTAACTTGATCAGTTCTAGACAGAATGAAATTTCAGTCTGAGTAACAAGTCTGAAAATATATACTTAGGGTTGACCTCTATTAAATAATGTGGATATTAACACTATTAGTAAAATAAAAAAGTTCATATAAAATATATACTCACATTTTAAAAAAACTACACAGCAAACTAGGTATAGGGTTTGTTAAGGTAATGCTTACAAAAAAATAAGTCATGAACTTTCAGTGGCTTAACATTTATGAAAATTCTAATAAGACAGAGTGGGAGAGTGAAGGAGTCAAGTAGTCTAGTTATATTGTTCTAACTCAATAAATCATTAGAGACCAAAGCATTATAGCTTCTGACATTATCAATACATGAATTTCCAAGACCATAGCAGGTGCTGAAAACTCCCCAGTAAGACAAAAGAGGCAAGAAAGAATGAAAGAATGGAGGAGCACGCAGGCCTGAAATGAATCAGACCTAAAAATGTCCTTTACGACTTTTACCCACATTTCAGACTTATGCTTCAAACCCCATCTAACTGCAGTGGGGCTGTGTACCCCACAAAAAAAAAGGATTTGTTGAAAAAATAAATAACCTATCTCTACCCCAGTTGTTCAATAAACACCTCTTAACTGGATGTTGAAATCTTTATTTTACTTGCAAATAACTGATATCATTTAACTTCCTTTCTTCAGTGGCTCCAGCAGTCCCATCATGTGAAGTGCCCAAGTCTGCTCTGAGTGGAACTGTAGTAGAGCTACGATGTCAAGATACAGAAGGCAATCCAGCTCCTGAGTACACTTGGTTTAAGGATGGTGTCCGTTTGCTTGAGAACTCCAAACTTGGCTCCCAAAGCTCCAACAGTTCATACACGATGAATACAAAATCCGGAACTTTGGTAGGTTATTTCAAGAGTTGATTTCGTCACTATCTTGCATTTCAATAAAAGTAAATCTATTTAAACTAACGTGACAGAATAAAGAATTGACACATTATAAAATCGTGGTAGCTACACATAACAAGGATTAAAAACGTTGGGGAGCAGGGCATATAGGACTAAACTAGCAACCTTCACTCATGGTGATAGACCCAGCAGTATTATTGCAACCATCATCCTGGCCAGGAGAGATACTAAGCTTTGTCTCCTATTTATAACACTAAAGAAAGTGAATAAAGCACCCCCAGTAAAGGACAGTGAGATAGTGAATACAATGATTATTGCTGGACTACAGTAGCATGTCTATATCATCAAATTCTTCCATGATGCTAGATCATTGTCACTTGACTCTGTGACTTGAGTATCTTTTACTTTAGATTTATTCCTAAACCGTTGCTTTTCAGGTGATTCTGGCTCACAGCAGCCCCATGACTTACAAACTAGAAGTATTCCAGAGGGTTTCTTGGCTGTGGTCTTTATTGAGGCAGATGGCCAGACCTTTTGCTTATAGTGCTTTGTTCAGACTGCCAAGTTCTAGATTACAAATTGTTTGGACCACTGAGGCTTGAAGTTAGCCCAGCTTTATGTATTGAAAATATTCTAATTGAAGAGCAATTTTGGGAGTTATTTATGGGAATCTGTGAATAAGTTCTTCAAGCTTAATTTTACTTCAAAGTAAAAAGTTGGTTGTTTTTTTTTTTTTCTTTCATTAACTCTGACATTTAGGAATAATGTTAAAAGTAGAAAGAAAATCATTAGGCTTAAAGATTTGTTTTCAGTCAAAGGAATATTATATCCAGTTATAGGATCTAATTTCCAGTAATATGAAGTCTTACTATTATTTTGAAAACAATCTTAAAGATATGGTCATATTATTTATCATTTTAGAAAGTTTTAAATGAATGGTTTAATGTTGCTTTCCATTCTTTCAATCTAGAAGCACATAATAACTTTGAGAAACTATATCCTCTGGTGAATAAGAAAACATACCAATAATGCCAATAATGTGGCTTAAGGGCCGGTAAAGCTCCTTCTTGAGAAAGGCCATTTCCTGGGCCCTTGCAGCAGTCAGCAGGCACAGTCAGCAGGTCCGGTGGATTATACACTGAGAAACTGGCCAGAAAACTTGCCATCACACTTTGCTATATTTGCTTTTCAAATTTATTTTTTCTCAGGGCAGGTGCTAAAAGCCTTAAAGCAAGTCTGAAATGATATAGATTCACTTTCCTCAGCTAGCCTCAATTTCTGAAGTATCTTGTGATGCCAAAGGAATGCACCCAGGTTGAACTCCCTTTCGCTCATGGCTGTGGAGTTGGAACTGACTCATAGCTGACACCCCAGTGGATCTGTGAGGTTCTAAATAGGACTCAGGATGAGGTTGCCGTCCTTCTCTCAAGCAGAGAATGGTGAATTTTAACTGTCAGAGAGGCATGTTCTTTGAGTTAGTAATGAAACTTAAAATTTCCATCACCAGAGCTCCAGATTTAACTGGAATGGGAATTTTTATGAGAATTTTATGAGGATTTGCTGAAAACAACAGAACTCCAGTATATGGAATGATTTCCTTTTTAATTACTATTATAACGTGCTAGAAGATAATTTTTTATTTTACTTATTTTTAATACTTAATCTTGTCTTGAACTCATTAAACTCATTAAAGTAAACAAGAGAAAGGGGAAGTGATCAGTGAAAAAAGACAAATGAAGGAGGAAAGAAAGGAAATAGGCACATCCCTGGCTACTTTTAGGAATATACATTATATGAAGAACTAAGACAGGAAGGAGATGCTCCTGCAGTTTGAAGTTGAGACCAGGAGGCCCTGAAATTATTCTGAACACTCTTCTCACCCTCTGTACTGGTCCTGGAAGATCCTTTTATCCATCAATAACTGGCTACACTTTTTCCCTTTCCTTTTTTTGTGATTTTAGCAAAAGTTTACAGAAAAGTTCAATTTTCATTCATTCATTGTTGCAAATTTTCCTCCCTACCCTCCCCCCAGTTCACTTAAAAATATTTATTCATTGTTGCATAATTTCCTCCCTTCCCTCCCACAGTCTACTTTGATATGCCCCTCTTTTTCTGGACTGTTATCATACAAATAATGCCTAATCGTATGTTCTTTTTAAGCGGTTCTTTCCTTTATCTGTTTCAGTGTAGTGTTCATTATTTCTCCCCTATTTTCTTAGTTTCCTCCCAGGCCCTAAGTCAGTCTTATTTTATAACAATGTTGTTATGCAGTATTTGACCTTTGGTGACTGAGATATTTCACTCAGCATAATGTTCTCTAGGGTCATTCATGTTGTGTAATATTGAGGTCCTTGTTTTTCAGTACTGTGCAGCATTCCTTTGTATGAATATACTTCAGCTTCTCTATCCATTCATGTGTTGATGGGCACTTGGGTTGCTTTGCTGTTGTGAATAATGCAACAATAAACATGGTGAGCATATATTTGTTTGGGTGGCAGGTCTGGTTTTCTTAGGGTATATTCCCAGTAGTGAAATAGCTGAGTAAAATGCTATTTCAGTTTCTAACTTTTTAGGAAAGTGCTAGACCACCTTCCATACTGTTAGTACCATTTTACATGTTAGATGGCTCTTGGCAGAAAGCAGAGAATATCAGAAGAATGCCTATCTGTGCTTCATTGACTATGCAAAGGCTTTTGTCTGTGTGGATCACAACAAGCTGTGGCTGACTCTGAGAAGAAAGGGAATCCCAGAACATTTGATTGTGCTAATGCGAAACCTATACTTGGACCAAGAGACAGTCGTCAGAATAGAGCAAGGAGACACTACATGGTTCAAAATCAAGAAGGTGGTCCATCAGGGATGTATTTTGTCTCCATACCTTTTCAATATGTATGCAGAACAGATCTTCTGAGACACTGGGCTGTACGAGGAGGAATGTGGCATCAGGATTGGTGGAAGAGTCATCAACAACATGCATTATGCAGATGACACAACACTGCTTGCTGAAAATGAGGAGGACTTGAAGCACTTGCTGCAGAAGGTCAAAGACTGCAGCCTTCAATACGGATTGAAGCTCAGCATAAAGAAAATGAAGATTCTCACCACTGGGCCAATTGGTAGCATCAGTATTGGATGGTGAAGAGATTGAAACAGTTAACATTTTTAGTTTACTTGGTTCCACAGTCAGCACTCTTGGTAAAAGCAGCCAGGAAATCAAGAGACAAATTGCATTGGGAGAGTCAGCTGTGAGGGACCTCTCATGGGTACTGAAGAGCAACAATGTCAGGCTGGAGACTAAGGTGCGCCTGATCCAGGCTGTAGTCTTCACAGTTACATGCTGTGCATCAGAGAATTGTACAGTGACTAGGGATGACAGAAAGAGAATTGATGCCTTTGAGCTGTGGTGCTGGTGAAGAGTGTTGAATATATCATGGACTGCTAGAAGAACAAACAGGTTTGTCCTGGAGAGGGTGAAGCCAGAATGTTCCTTGGAGTCAAGGATTCTGAAGCTTTGTCTGATACTTTGGGCATGTTGTAAGGAGGGACTGGTCCTTGGAGAGGAGAGTGGAGGAACAGTGCAAGAGAGGAAGACTCTTGATGAGATGGATCGATTCTGTGATTGGTGTGGTGGGAATGAGTGTGTTTGAGACGGCGAGGTTGGCACAAGATAGAATGGCCTTTAGGGCTCTTGTAGATAGGGTCGCTATGAGTCGCAAACAACTCGATGGCACATAACAACACCACCACCAAACAGCAGTGAATAAGGGTTCCAATCTCTCCACAACCTCACCAGCATTTCTTGTTTGATGCTCTGTTGAATTTTGTTATCATTACTGGGATGACTTGATATCTCATAGTTGGTTTTTTCCTTCATTCCTTCCTTGCTTCCTTCCTTCCTTCCTTCCTTCCTTCCTTCCTCCTTCCTTTTCTTCCTTCTCTCTTTCCTTCTCTCCTTCCTACTCTCCTTCCTCTCTCCTTTCTTCTCTCCTTCTTTCTTTCCCTACCTTCTTGTCTGAAAAATTCTCCAAGGGGTAAAGCTACTGATTTAAAAACTGTCAAAGCTATTGTGTCCATGTCTAGCCTTTCCATTTCTTCTGGACAGGAGTGGAAGGAACAAGGGCTAGCTTCCCTCTTTTCAAGATTTTAATAATGTCTTAAATTGTCAAGAATTTATAATACTACTAACTTACCCAACAATATTTCACACTTACCAAAGAATACCTCCAGATCTCAACTGCCTTAAATAGATTATTAAGGAAAAATTATGTTATCCTGAGGACTAAGATGCCTCTGATTCAATCCGTGGTCTTCCCGATCACATGCTATGCATCTCAGAACTGGACCATGAATAGGGATGTCGGAAGAAAAATCAATGCCTTTGTGATGTCATATTCAAGAAGAGTGAATCCAAGTAAAATGAAATTTTTTGAAACTTTAAACTTTTTTCCATCTTTTGTGGCATTTGGTTTAGTAGTGAGGATTTTTGTTTTGTTAATGTTGAACTGTAATCTTTATTGAAAACTGTAGTCTCGAGCTTTTGGTGTGTCAGCCCCTGCAAATTCTGTGTCATCTAGAGACAACCACCATGATTTTTGTACACTTTAACTTCTCATGTGAAAAAAAAATTGAAAGAGCTTGGCTCCATTAGCTCTGTTTTGTTTTGCTTTTAATTCTGTGGCACTGAAAAACATGAAATCACTGTTATTTTTGTTGCAGCTTTTCATTTTCAGTAAAGCAAAACAAAACACAGAAGGAAAAAGACCTTCAGGGATGTGAATTATTGAATTTTTTTTTAGTTAAAATGTGATTGTCCTCTACTTGTTGGAGCAGGTGGAAGAGAGGACAGTGAAACTTTGTGTCATATACTTTAGACATATCCTAAAGGACACCGTGCTTGGTAGAGAGTCAGAGAGAGGGAGGAGGAAAGAGGAAAATCTTCAGTGCAAGGAACTGATACAGTGGCCACAACAGTGGAGTCAACAATTCCAACAATT